GCTGATGTGAGGCAATTTTGAGAGAGTGAGAGCGAGAACACGCGGTACAGTTGAACCACACACGCTGTTTTCAAATGATTGACTTTATCTGATATTCTGTGTGAATTTTTTTTAACTCATCTAACCTACATTGTATATTAAATAAATGTTTGCGGGAATTTTCCAAACGTGCGAAACCTGCGAAAATGGGTAAAACCAAAATGCGCAATCCCGCACCCGAGATTCAGGACATGATTAAACATATATTCTATTATTTAGAGGTTTGTAAAATAAATTTCCACGACTTTTCCAAAGCTTTCTGGGTTTTTCATGACCGTACGAACCCTGTAAATGGCTATTTTTATTTTTTTAAATCGTCTTGATGAAATTTCTGCTCCACTTTGTGTGGAGGTAGTGAGACGAGACAAAGTCCCTGTAAGATATTAGGGTGGGCTATTCTATAGTCTTTGGACGGGACAGAGCGCTCAAAACTCTTCAGATTAATTTAGTGGAACATTAATATAATATAGAATCATACTCTGTAAAGAAGTGAGGCTTGAACATGTGAGAATTTATCATTATCTTTGTAAATGTGCGCTCTTTTGGGCTAAAGGCTTAATGGAACCATTTAAAGTAGCCATGTGATCACAAATTAATCGGCGATTTGGCGCAGTGCAGAAAAAAATGATAAATTCCAGTTTATACTGTTTGATTATGGCTTTGAATGTCGTAGTTGGAAGCTGGAAGCTGTTAGCCCCGGTTGGCGCATGTGGAAGCTGTTAGCCCCGGTTGGCCCATGTGCGCAGTTGAAATGTGGCTAATAATTTCTGACTGGCACATAACTGAACAAATGTAAACGGGTTAAGGCGGGGCCCCCTACAAGGTGGGGCCCCTGGGCTGCAGCCCATTCAAGCCCAATGGTAAGTCTGGCCATGACTGCGAGAGTCGCGCACCGAATGAATTTCGGCGTCCTCCACCCGCAGCTAACTTATCCATCCATTAATTTTACAAAGTGATCGTCCATGGTGTAATACAGCGTAATACAACACAGGTATAAATTCATTGTAAATTGATTATTCAATTGTTTAACTATGGTTTATACATCATTTCCATAACAGAGTTCAAGATAAATCTTTTAATCTCACTACTGCAGCTTTCGGTTTGCCAGTTTCAAATGAATATTAAACAGCAAGCACAAGCTATGCAAAAGCGGCAGTCCTTCCGGTGCACTCAGTGTCCGAATTCACTCTTTCGTTTTCATTCACTCTTTCAAGTGAACTATATTAGTGGCCTAGGGAATAGTGAATGAGAGGATAGGAGGTGATTTCGGGTACATTCTTTGTGTTTGAAAGAGTCCTCCTGGTTGGAAACAGGTGTGTCTGTAATCAGTTCCTAGGCAGGGGTTATGGGAAATGGAGTCTGGAATTGAGTGGTAAAGGTATGGGATGGAGTGCCCTC